ATTAACATATAAATAATTTTAATTAATTAAATTAAATTAAAATCAATAATTATATTTTTAATAAAAATTAATTATAAAAAAAAACATTTATTACTTCTGCCCCAAATACTGGATATTGAGACCCGAATGATAACTCCACTCTCAATGGTTGGTCCCAACGATAAGTCAAAAACTCTAAAGTCTAAACCCTTATCCGAACACATTCCACACCCTGAGAATCCCTCATCCCAAAACCCAAAATTCGGCACAAAAAATTTTCGTTTCTAGGATTTCTCCAAACTGTTAATGGACAGTATCTCTCTCTCCAGCCCTAGAACCTCCTATTTCCTACTTTTTTTACCGTCCAATGTGAAATTCCAGGGGACCCACCAAAGTTTCACTTTTACCCACCGGAGATCACTTCCTAGCGGCGACACTGCTCGCCGTACCTTCCATCATGGCGGTCGGATACGGCCAGTTGTTGTGGCTAGTGCGGGGGCTAGCCACTGCGACTTTGGTAGCTTGAACGCGCCGCTCGAGCCGCGGTCTGCTTCCGGGAAGTATCTCGGCGGGGTCTTGCAAAACCGGCGGCAGTTATTTCAGTTGGCCGTTTCCGATGAACTGAAGCAACTTGCCGATGATCGGGAAGGCGCTTCTTGTCAGGTGTTCCTGACACATGACCCCGATTTGGCCTGTCTTTACAGGTTTGTACGTTTTTATTCTTTCTTTATATGTTTTGACTATCATGGATAGTTTCATTTGTTCTGCATACCGAATTGGGAGTTTCTTCTTACTTCGTCTGTTGTGCTCTGCATTAAATTAGTTATAAATTGTAGTGATAAACTTTACTAATTAAGGAGATCATGAATTTCCAACCTTTTTTTTTTTTTTTTGCTATCTAAAATTTTTCTTCTAAATTTGGATACTCTGCAGTTTGTTTGGCTAAAAATTGACGTTTAGAGCAGTGTGGTTGGATCTTTTAAATAATGGGTATTTCTTCTGGGAAAAGGCCAGTCTGGTTTAATGCTGCCTAGATATATCAATTATATTTATTGGGTGTTGAACAGTCTTCTTGTTTTCAAGGCATGTTTGTGAGGAAGTTTGTGTGCTTAGGGTAAGGACTAGGCTGATGAGTACTTTCTTACTTCCATACATGGTTCAGTTGTGCCTTCAAAATTGGTCCTTGTGAAATAACAGAGATTCTTCCTGCATATTTTCCTTTATGATGCCTTTACTTCAACTTTCTTATTTCAAAAATGCATACTCTGAGATGATGTTCTGGTTTAAATATTTTCCTATAGATGCTCTGTGTGAAGCTTTGTGCTCACTTGGCGCTAATGAGGCTGTGTCGTAATGTGAGTGACATTGCACTCTATAGTCACGACTTCTCTGATTCTAAACTTACAAAGGGTAGCCTATATCCTGCCCAACATCCATTGACAACCAGGTTTTCCTCATTTTAGGAATGAACCAATTCAATCTGGTTAATTTTGCTATCTTTTGCAATTTTTATTTAGCATTGCGCTATAAGTATGCTTTTGAATTGACCCTTTTTTTGTTTGTTTGGATAGCGGGTTTGATTGGGTTTTAGAGAAAGAAGTTAATTAATTTCAGGACTATTGTATTAGATACCTTGGAACAATTTAAACTGTCTAGTACTGCAAGGGAGCTTTTGGTAGCACTTCTATTAACCTTTTAAAATGACACAAGTGACAATTGTAATGGTGTTTAGTCATCAGTGAGGACTTGAGGTAACTGTTTAGCAGTGCTTTAACTGTGAGCTTTATTGGACTTAAATCTCTAGATGTTAATTATAAGATATCTTCCATTCTGACCTTATTAGCTTTCTAAATTACAGAAGGATTGCCCAACTGAAAGCAGGCGACTGTGATATTGCGATTGAAGATATAATCTATATGTTAATCATTTACAAGTTCTCTGAAATCCGAGTCCCTTTGGTTCCAAAGCTCTCAAAATGCATTTATAATGGTAGACTAGAGATATGGCCTTCAAAGGACTGGGAGTTACAATCCATTCACAGTTTTGAGGTCTTGGAGATGGTACGAGAGCATGTAAGTACTGTTATTGGCTTGAGAGCAGATTCTAGTGTCACAGACAACTGGGCAACAACAGAGATTCAACAGGTTAATCTTGGCCGAGTTTATGCAGCCTCAATCTTTTACGGCTACTTTCTGAAGTCTGCCTCTTTGAGGCACCAGCTTGAACAGTCTCTAGCATTGCCAATGACTGATCAAGGCAACAATCTTAGTCAAAAGCCTTCCCTTCAATTTCCAGAGATTAAGGCCAGATTGAAAAATCTGGTGCTTGGCGGTGTACATAATACACAGTCTTATACAGCGGGTCAAGATTCAAGCAGGCAGGAAGATCTTGAAAACTTAAGGCAGTATGTGATGGGATTTGATCCTGAAACATTGAAGAGGTGTGCAAAACTGAGATCCAAAGAGGCTGCAAAGTTGATCGAGAAGCATTGTCATGCACTATTTGGGGATGAAAAGATGTGCAAACTTGAAAATGATGCATTGATCCTTACCTCTTTCTCAAGCCTAAAGCGGTTAGTTTTGGAAGCTGTTGCTTTTGGTTCTTTCCTTTGGGAGATAGAAGATTATGTTAACAATGTCTATAAGCTTAAGGACAACTAATTAGAGCCAACAGGGGAAATTCAGAGCTTGTGATCAAGCCTCTCTGTACATAGGAGTTTTACTATTGCTGGGTATAACGTTCATCGGTAAGCAATTTTATGTGTACTTACTATCATCTTATATTTATATATAAATAATGAATAGTTCCGATATTACTCTTCTCTGGTTTCTAATATGGAGCAGTTGAGAGCAGTTGAGAGCAGTTGCTTCTGTTAACTAGTTAATTATTTGAGTAACCGACTATCAATCCCAAACTGGGACTCATAAATTAAAGCTACTTGAGACCCTTGGTAGCCGACTAATAGATAGCCTAGGGAGCCATCTTCTGTAGATGCTTGCCTTCGAATCATCATTCAGCATAAAGGATGCCACATACCCAAGAAGTTGACTTAATCGGCAAAAGAGTTCACTTCTCATTTTGTTAACCAAGATTGGATTATTTGAAAAGGTCAATAAAGAGATAATTTACCATAAATTTTCCAATTTTGGTGTGAATAGGTTGCCTCTTATCAGTCCAAAAAAGAATTACTCTCGAGATGTTGTAAGTTCATCTGGGAATATGTTGACTGTTAAATTAAAAAATAAGAAAGGTAAAATGAAGGATGTCACACACCTTCCAGCATCGTTACGCGCACGGTTGCCGTCCCGAGCCTTGATCTTAGTCTAATAAACCTTTTATTCATTGGCGTTGGTTTGATCCTTTCAAGTTACAAATTTCGTGTTAAGAAATTCTAGATGACGTAAAAACCTGTGTTGAAAATATAGCCTCCTTAAGGAACATCCTAAAGTTAACAGTGAGACGGTTGCTTTGTCCCAAAGCAGCAACTAGCAATATTTTTACTCCTTACGCATCCGTTTCTCTTCTCCCCCAAAAGGTGCCTGCCGACAACAACTTATAAACTATAACGCTAATAATTTGACGCCTACAAGCTCTCCAAAATCACCTTTCCAATATTAATTTCTTATCTAGCACGAAAAAATTAATAACTCCGACAAAATTAACAAAATTTCAATATAAACTACTTTCTGTGTAGTGCTTTTTCCCTATTAAACTAAGCAGGCGGTTGCAGGGAAGCACTAATACAGCAGTCCCAAATAGACCGCAAACTTTCAAATGAAAAGGGTTTCTTTTTTTCATAACTATGCATATCCTCTGCTTTAAATAACGGGCAAACAAAATGAGTAACAATTTCCAGCCTCGTTGGAATCCTTCCTTGAGTCATTCTCATTCGCCAGTTCGAATCCTTCAATTGGAAGCATGACGTTAAATTTCTTTGAATACGTAAAGAGTGAGGACAACAACACATGAGACTACACGTAAACAGATCTTTTCTTACGCTTTTACCGGTTCATAAATTAGTCAAAAACCAACATCGATCCCAGAAGATACATGTCATAAATTCAAGCATCCCTTCCTCATTTTTTCTTCATCACCTCTCCAAACTGCGAAACAATGTTAGTTCTACTCTTTGATGTGATTTTCTTCTTCTTTAGCACATTATCGATCATACTCGCCCGCTTGATCGTCTCCTCTGTGTTCCTTGTTGTGCAAGTCATCCAGCTATTCAAGGTACCTGGCGAAGCGATCCAAGGTGGATTAGAACAGCTCGCGGAGATCATCAAGGTGTGTTTCGAGTTTGTTTTTGATATTGTGAAGGAAATTATAGCCTCTATCATCTCTGCAATTTTCGAACATCTTAAGGAAGCTGCTAAAGAGTCAGCTGCTGAAATGGTGTCAACAGTCTTTGACCTAATGAAGAACACGAGGACTTCCTTGGATGATTTGTTGAATGATTTACCAGAGATCGCAGAGGGCTTCTCCGGGATGATTCAGACGGTGATCACAAATTTATGGGAAAGTTACAAGGATGTCATAAAATATCTACTAGAAAATGCTAATTAGTTGATCTTGTAACCTCAATTGGATGTTTGCTTGATTCTTTGTAAATATTTTACATGTATAAATCATGAAATTAATATGAGAAAGTTTTGCCCTTTGAGTAATTATATGATTTATTTCCTTCGATCTACAGCAGGGGGAGGGGAATATAAGGTTGAAAGGTGCATGATGTTATTGCTCCTTTGTGGGAAAAAAGGGGATTTTCTGGGAATTTGCAAGTTGAGCAGGGAACAGGAATTGGTAGTCTTAACTTGCAAGACACTTTTAACTCACTTGAAATCTTACAAATTATACAAATGTTCTACAGTATATTTCAGTACAATAAAAAATAATTTTTTATTATTTTTTAATTTATTTCACCTGTATACTATGTAATTTAAACTAAAAACATCAGTTTAAAGTCAACTGTTTGTACTAATAAAACAAAAAATATATACTTGAATTAAAAATAAATAACAGTAAATATTAAGAATTAAATATTTATATTTATTATTATATATATTCAAACTGGTAATCCAAACACTTACACTTAATTATAGGTTGAGGACAAAATGAAAATATTCTTTCCTTTCATTATCATGGATACCTCGTACTCGTACTTGTACGTAGTATTCAAAACTTGTTTTACAAATCTTGGCCTCTCAAACTCGTGCTGACATTTAAGACAAGTTCCTAATTCACAAATTAAAAATTTGAATAGGCAATTTAAGGGAATAGTGATATAAACATAACTTGTTTATATAATTTTTATGTAAAATTAAATATATAAATATATTTAATATTATAGAATTTAAATAAATAAAAAAAATAATTATTTAAAAAATACATAAAATTATATAAAAATCTATATAAAAGAATTACCCTTAAGCTATTTTCTTTTGAGTGGCTTCTAAGGATTTCTCTGTAACCCGAATTAAGTTCTGCTTTCGTTATAATGCAACCTGAGCCTTTGCGGTAAATAACTTTTTGGGCTGGAGAATATTGAGAAAAATTTTGGGTTTTAGGAAGAAGCCCACAGAAAATTATTTTTTTTATTCCTTTCTTTCCCTTCATCCCTCCTATTTTATTTCTTTTCTTTTTAATTTTATAATAATTAACCGACAAATCTAAAAAATTTTCAACTTTCCCCCCTTTTTTTTCTCACTTTTTTTTTTTTGAAAATTTCTGATTCTTTGAAAAGAAATGACAAAAATAAAAAATAATAGAAAGAAAACTAAGACACCTAACTGCCGCGAACTTTTACAACATTGATACTGTTATCATAATTGTATTAGAAGTTGAGCCCCTGATTTTGATATAATGTCAACTCTAACCTAATCGAAATTTCATTTGGGTTATTATAATGTCATTTCAGTACTGAATAACTTTAATAACTTGTTTGGGTTAAAGAGATGATGGGAAAAATTTTTTGTTTAAATAAAAAAATTGAACGAGAAAAGGGGGATTCATACTTTTTTGCTTTAATGTTATATTTGATTCTAACCAAAGAAAAGGAAGGAAGAAAAACAAGGATGTCAAGAACTTTAGGTGGGCGTACGGCATTCCCCTTATGTCGCTCAATTGGGTGGTTCCGCCGTTGCCTACCCAACTAATAGCAGGTTTCTTTAGTTTAATTTGTAAGAGTTTTT